GTAAAACAAATTAAAACCATAATAGTAAGGGGAAAGAAGTATTAAAGAACTAGAGGAAAGTTATGTGTTTCATCAGTGCTATATCACACCGTGGATTTATCATCCCTTCTCTGTGGCCATTTTGAGAGGGACTGTCTGATTATCTTACAGGTAGGTTTTGGGTCTCCACTATACCCACACCCCTTCACACTGATTTGGTTGCTTGCTTTTGAACTTCTGATACCTTTCCCTGTTGACACCCCATGAACACACAGGCTAATGTGCTTGTTCCATGTGGGCTTTGTTGCTTCTGGGCTGGATGGTCGTTTGTTCAACTACACGCCTTTAAGACCACAGATGCTCTATCTAAAAGAGTTGTTCAATGAGAACCAATGAGACTCTCCGTCTTGTGGATGGCACCATTTATGAAGTGATCCATATGCCTGGGGTGGTGAGGGGAGGGGTGGGGGTGGGGAGGAAACTGTGTCCATGTCAGAGAGCCTCAGAGACACCTCCTCTCTACCTCTCCCTCAGGCTTGCAGGACTCTGTTCTCCCTTGGGATGGAGTTGCTGCTGGGTTTAAATTCAGCCATGATCAGAGAGTCAGAATGACATCAGCTGCTAGTGGTTGTGGCCCAATGCTTGTCTTTCCCAGTTGACGTTCTTTCAGCTTCTCACTCAGACAGTCCGCATACTGGCAGGTGACATCAATGATTGATGTGAACTCTTGTCTTTATGTCATTTTTCTCAAGGATATAATAGGGCGGTGGACACTGACATAGTAGAGGCGGTTCCCCTCTCCAATATCTAAGTCAACTTCCACCGTGTCCACAATAGTGTTTCTAGATGTCAGGGGTGCAGAAAATTCTACTGCCTCATTCCTCATACTTCTGTAAAACCAGTTGTTATCATGGGACCATTCAAACTCATGATGACCCCAGAGAAGAACTGTAATATGTAGGGTCTTAATGGATGATTTTTTGGAAGTAGGTCACCAGGCCTTTCTTCTGAGGTGTGTCTGGGTGGAGTTGAACCCCCAGCTGTCTAGGCAGCAGCTGAGTGCATTAACTTTCGCAGAATTTTCCCATGAAGGAGAAGATTATTTCCACCTTCACTCCCCAAGAAATAGAAGAAGTGATGATCTGTTCGCTGACATAGGGAGAAAGAACTTGGTATGTGTGGCTCAGTCTTGTCCTCTCTTCTGGATCTGTCCTCGTGTGAACACTCTTCTCTGCTCCTCCAAATGGTAAGTGTACCCCGGCAGGCCTTCTTTTCCTGCCTCCACTCTCAGGGCCTAGTGGGTGTGAGGTGGTGATTTTGCATGTGTCTAATGGCTCTGCAGACAAACACACTGTTGGGTTGGCCATCCCAAGGTCTAGTCTTGGGATTCAAACCAATCCCATGGTTCCAGCACTAAACTGATGCTCTTTTCTCTGTCTGTCTCTAATTTGTTTTCTCAGGACTCAGAAAGGGAAGACATTCATCTAAGAAAGTGGTGATGAGCTCTAGCTTGTACCTGGAATCCAGGTTGAGGTAATTAGCATAATTGGATCAAATTTCAGTGTGAAGTAAGGGGGTGCTGAGGGAAGAGTCTGGAGTAAGAAGCAGATTTTCTGAAATGCCATTAAAAATTGTTCAGTTCAGTCAGATACTGAAAAGATAAGAGGCAAAGACATCTTAGCAAAAAGTGATTCACCTTAGATTTTTATTAATTGACCATTTTTCAGGATTGAGAAAGTTTTTTCAACAGAATGTCATGAGGTGCAGAAGTTGAAGGCTTCTTTTCTAAAAATCATAGCTCCATGATTGATTTGACTAAGTGACTCATTTCTGAGATGGATTCTTTTCTGGCCTAAAAAGAACCTGTTCTGGGACCCTGAACACATGGCCTCTGTCCCTGGCTTGCTCATTAAGCTGCAGCAGTGGCTGGGGCTCTGGGGAGTTCACTTCCTCCCCCTCTGAGAGGTAGCTACTCCTTCGATGACAATCAGAGTTCTCAGGTGCCCAACTGCATTACAATCATCCAGATACTTGTTACCAGGGTACATGGCAGGCCTCCATCCCAGGTCTGCTGGATCAGATTTTCTGAATTGGAGACCAGGAATTTGTCGTCTTAATTATTCAAGTGATTATGGGGTAAAGCTAAATTGGGATAGATGACCTGCGGGCTCCCTCCTGAAGGCAGTGGAGGCTCAGTAGTAGGATTCCAAGCAGCAGACCAGGGTTTGATTCCTGGCCAGTACACTCATGCACAGCCACCACTCTCATGGGAGCCTGTGTGCTGCTATGATGCTGAACAGGTTTCACCAGACTTGCTGAACTAAAAGGGACCAGGAAGAAAGGGCTGGGAAACTACTTCTGAAAAAACAGCCAGAGCAAGCAAAGAGGGTAGGAGACTGAGAGGAACACATCTTGGCCCACTGAGCCCTGAGGACAATATTCCTGGCCAGAGCAGCCAATGCACAGAACGGACCATAGGGCCGGCCCCATCATGAGACATGAAGTCCCTCACTGACCCATAGAGCTACAGGGGACAGCACTGGAGAAACAGTGTGGGAATTGTGCCCGATATGACCCCACCACACTGGGGCGAAACATTAAGGGCATGCAACAGAGCAGCAAGGAGAGCAAAGCAATGAAATCCCTGGGGAATACCAAAAATAGACTTTAGGGCCAGGGCGTGGCATCCCATCAGACTCACCATAAAACACTCCTGAAGGTCAACAAACAGACCTGGAATTATTGATTGACCTTTCTTTTTTGTTGTTTTGTTTTGCTCTGTCTTGTTTTTTGTGTCTATCTAGATAAAATAGGTGGGATAAACAATCCAGAGGAGAAATCAACAAGACCAATGTTTCCTGGGGGACACAGGAGAAGGGGAGGTGGGGGAAAGGACGTGGATGTTAACAAACCCAAGGACAAGGGAACAACAAGTGATCTAAAATCAATGGTGAGGAGGACATAGGATGACTGGTAGGACTTGATTAAGGGCAATGTAGCTGAGAGGAAATTCTGAAACCTGAATGAAGGTTGAACATAATAGCGGGACAAGAGGAAATTAAAAGGCAATAGAGGAAAGAACTAGGAGGCAAAGGACATTTACAGAAGTCTAAATACAGGCATGTAGATATGTAAATTTATTTATGAATAACGATAGAGAAATATAAATTTATTCAGATGTTAAGTATTAAGGTAGCAGACATTAGGCCTCTACTCAAGTACGCCCTCAATACAAGAACACTTTTTTCTAATAACCTGGCATTCTGTGATGCTCAGCTTCCAAACACCATCGCTGAAGACAAAATGGGTGCATAAGCAAATGTGGTGAAGAAAGCTAATGGTATCTGGCTATCAAATGATATAGCATATGGGGTCTTAAAAGCTTGAAGATAAACAAGCAGCCATCTAGCTGAGAAGCAACAAGGTCCACATGGAAGAAGCACACCAACCTGAGTGATCATGAGGTGTCAATGGGATCAGGTATCAGGCATCAAAGAACAAAAAAACCCATCTCATTGTGAATGAGGGGTACAGCAGAGTGAAGACCCAAAGCCCATCTGTAGACAATTGGACATCCCCTTACAGAAGGGTCACAAGGAAGAGACGAACCAGTCAGGGTGCAGTATAGCACCGATGAAACATATTTTCTCTAATTCCTTAATGCTTCCTCCCGCCCTCACTTTCATGACCCCAACTCTATCTTACAAATCCAGCTAGACCACAGCATGTACACAGGTACAGATAAGAGCTGGAAACACAGGGACTCCAGGACAGATAAACCCCTCAGGACCAGTAATGAGAGTAGAGACACCAGCACAGAAAGGGAAAGGTGGGAGGAGAAAGGGGAACCAATCACAAGGATCTACATATAACCCCCTCCCAGGGAGATAGACAACAGAGAAGTGAGTGAAGGGAGACATTGGACAGTGTAAGACATGAGAAAACAATAATTTATAAATTATCAAGGGTTCATGAGGGAGGAAAAAATAACGAGGAGCCAATACCAAGGACTCAAGTAGAAAAAAAATGTTTTGAAAATGATGATGGCAGCAAATGTACAAATGTGCTTGACACAATGGATGGATGTATGGGTTGTGATGGGAGCTGTATGAGCCCCCAATAAAATGATTTTTTTTAAAAGAAAGAAAAAATAGCCAATAAAAACCCTGTGGATCACAACACTCTAATCCCAAAGCACTCATGGAGGTAGTGAGGGACAGGCAGCGACTGACAAGAACAGCCGCAACGCAAATCGGATTTATTTCTATCCTGTCTATGTTTGTTCTGCTGGTGGACATTATGCTGAAAAAGGCAAACAAACAAGTAAACAAGCAATTAAAAACCACAACAACCAAGACCACGATTTAATCCTCTTTATATCTTCCAGCACCTACACAGGGCTTGCTTATGTAGTAGGCATTCAATAAATATTTGGTGGATTAATCAATTATGATGAAATAAATAAACGTTATTTAATGTAAATCCCAATCACCTATGAGTAGAGAAATCTAAAGAGAGATAAAATAATTTAAGCCTGTGCTTAATGTAATCTTGCCATCCTGGTCTGTGTTATTACAAACTCCAAACGAATGAGCTGGCAGCATGTCTGTGACTACATCTTTCGAGAGCCAATAGGCAGGTGGCTGAGATGCTCCTGTGGAGAAGGTAATCTCCCAGTATTTCTCCGGGTGGATGACAGCTAACATGGGACTTGTGATTCAACAGCAGTTGGTTATTTTTGTTCCTTGATGCTCGCAGTGCAGCAGATGCCACGTCCTTCCTGGATGACATCCTTGGGGACATAGTCTAGGCCTCTGCACCTACCAAGGCCACCCTAGATTTCTGTGAGGGCCCCGGCAGGTGAGGAGGAGCGCTTTGCCTACTGTTATATGTGACCCGGTAAGTCTCCCGAAGTGGGTGCAGCCAGCCACGGCATGTTTTGCAGCCAGGGCCTCAATGACATCGGATACCCCCTCATGTGAGTCCACAGCCCCTTTTCCCACCCACCCCCTCCTCTGCACTCCACTGACCACCCTGGAAGCTCCCGGGCTCAGACGCTGTCCGCTGGTCTCGGAAGGTACCGGCTCAGGATGAAATCAGTCACTGGCGTTGGCAGCTTAGCCAGGGGGAGGTAGAGGAGCTTGGCATCCAGGCCAGGGTTGTAGCGGATACGAGGGCTCCGGGACACAATGGCGTGCTCCATGCTGTTGGTGACTTCGGTGATCTTTGGATCGGCCAACTGCATGATGTTTTTTAACTTTTCAGTATCTGTTTGGAGGGCACAGGGGGAAAAGGTTTTAAGTGGAATTCTTCTTCATACAAGAGACTTTTGTCTGAAGTCCCTCAGATCCCTGATCAGAGCTGCCCCACCCTCTAGGTTGTCCCTTATGCAACACATTCCCTAAGCAGTCTTCTCGCTCTCCCTTCATCTCACAAGCGTGCCGTGAATCTTGCTACTGCATTAGATGAGTGCCCAGTTCGACAACTGTTAATTGTGTGACCTTGAACTTAAATTTGTAGCGTTGGTAAAATGGTAAAAATAATACCTGCCTTTGGATATAACGAAGATGATTGTTAGCAGGATAGATGGTGGGGGAGGACAGGATAGAAATCATGTGCTTAACAACATAAACAAGCAAAAACAGCATAAGCATAGAAAGAAAACAAATAAAAAATTAAAAAACCCATGGTTGGTGGGTTTCCCAGGGAGCCCAGTGCTCAGGGACTCAAGTGTCCAAGGGATGGATGAAGATGATGGAGACCATGTGCACTCTCTCAGCACCAGAGAGCCCGAGGACTGATCAAGTCCAGGCAAGCTGGACCTGGGCTTGGTCAAGGGCGGGGGGACCTGGTTAGGCAGCTGGGTGGAAGAGGGGACCCAGACAGGGGAGGTGTGGAGGCACATTCTTTCGCGATTTACTCAGCTCTTCATGCAGCTTCTCTTTTTACTGGGCATCCTGTCAGTCAATGTGTGGGCAGGGAGACGAGCCTGGGCAGCATTCTGGAGACCTGCTGTGTAGCATTGTCTGCTGCAGGAGACAGCATTGAGTCAGCACAGGGATTGGATTCCAGAAATACCTGGTACCATGTTAATGGCTCTTGGTGGCTGTTTTCTTCACTCAGAATTCCTATCTGAGTGGGTTGTTAGATAATCCAACAAGGACATCCAGTACTGCCCCTTTCCTGGACAGTGAGGAAGATGAGCTTTGGATCTAGTTACGTTGGAAAAAGTCTTTTTGTTATTGTGGAATTTAGGCCAGATGAAGTCTATGAAGTATCAGGGACCAGGCTTCGTCCTGGTTCCCAGGAATAGGTCCTGGACTTCTGACCTCGCCCCTCCCCAAGAAGAACCAAACCCAAACCAAACCAGCCGTGGCCTCCTGTGTGTCACGGCAGCACTGTGCCCAGTGGCTGGGCTTTTGGAATTCGACGGCCAAGACTTTCTTCCAAGCAAGTCTGTGTGGACTCCAACTTCCCACCTTTCCCTTAGCAGCCAAGCCTGTCAATCTTTGCACCAACCATGGACTTCCTCCAGAGAAAAGAGGAAGAAAAAGGAGGATTTGGGGGGCCTTTCTGGCAGAGTTGAAATGGAGAGACCTTTGACCAGGGGCCGATGCTGCTCCTCAAACCAAAAACCAAACTCACTGCCATCGAGTCAATGCCAACTCATAGTGACCCGATAGGTGGAACCGCCCCTGTGACTACCCAAGACTGTACATTTTTTTACCTGCTAAGTTATTTTAGTGCATGCTTTCAGAACAGAAATTGGAAATGTGAGTGCCCACTGTGCCACCTGCTATAGTTTTTCTGTCTTGTAACCTACAGCATCGATTCTATTCTGGCTCCAAAGATTTCCCTTTCAAACATCAAGTGTCATGTCATACCGACTTGCTGCCTTTTAAAAGGGTGAGTGGTGGAGGTGTCACTCGTTCTGGGAGCATCTTTCTGACCTTGTAGTGAGCAGCCTCATGCACAACCACGGTGCCACTAGGGCTCCTAAGCGGTGCTAATTGAGCCACTTTCCAACCCAATTCTATTCTGAGCACAGGATAGTTAAGATCCACTCCAAGAACTCTGGGGCTTGGTCCCTGGGTGCGGATGCCTTCGGGATAAGATCCATACTCTTCACTGATACTAAGGGCTCCATAGAAAGTAAGTGTTTAGAAAATAATGATGGCAACCTATGTACAAATATGCTTGATACGGTTGATGTATGAATTGTGATGAGAGCTGTAAGAGCCCCCCATTAAATTGTTTTTTTCTTAAAAAAAAAATTATTTTTAAAGATCCACACTCTTTAGGGATGCCAACAACATCTTTTATAATCTGACCCCTTTGATACTCATCCTCACCGTCAGCCTTCACACGTCACACTGGTCTTAGTCAAGATGGCAAAAGTGGACGGGTGCCTCAGTGACAGGATTTTTGCCTTCCATGCGGGAGAGCCTGGCGTGGTTTCCAGCCAATGCACTTCATGTGCAGCCATCGCTTGTCCATCAGTGCAGGTGGATTTGTTACCATGGTGCTGGCCAGGTTTCAGTGGAGCGTCCAGACTGAGCTGGACTAGGAAGAAAGGCCTGGTGATCCACTTCTGAAAACCAGACAACAAAATTCCTGTAGCTCACACCAGTTGCCTCAACGACAATCGATCCTAGGATGGTTCAGGATGAGGAAGCATCCGAACAGCTTTGTTCAGTTGTGGATGGAATCCCCTGAGCTGGGAGCTGACTCGACACAGCAAAACAAACACAACAGAAAAGCCAGCTCGCTGCCATTGAGTCAATTCTGACTCATAGCAACCCTATAGGACGGAGCACAGCTGCCCCCTGTGGATTCCCGAGACTAGAGATCTTTATGGGAGTACAAAGCCTCATCTCTCACCCATGAGGCAGCTGGTAGTTTTGAACCTCAAGGTTGGCAGCCCAATGCATCACCCATCGCACCAGCAGCCAACTTGACAGCAGTTGACAATCACAAGTTTTGTTGAGCTGAGTGCTGGGTGTTCTTGTTGGATTCTCTAACAATGCATGCAACCGGCATTCTAAGAGAAGAAATGGGATCGCCGAGAGCCATGGACATGGTACCAGGTATTGCTGGAACACAGCCCCTGGCCTGCCTCAGCATTGTCTCCAGCAGCAGACAATGGTATAGCGGGTCTCCAGACTACTACTCCTGTTCTCCTCTCTGGGGAAAGACCTATTTTCTTGTGACCGCCTATTCAGCATTCAGAACTCGCTAAGCCAGCCATTTCTGCGAGAGCTTTGTGACAGTAAAATTGAGTCTGTCGGTTGTTTCTGCAGGAGGAAGCTGGGGCACTATGCTTCCATAAGGATGGCACTCTTGGAAACCTTGTCCTTTTGGGTCGCCCTGATGGCACAGTGGATTATGTGTTAGGCTGCAAATCACAAGGTCAGCAGTTAGAAACCACTAGCCGCTCCATGGGAGAAAGATGAAGCTTTCTTCTCCCATGAAGACTTAGTCTCATAACTCAGAAGGGGCAGGTTTACACTGATCTCCAGGTCGCTATGAGTCCGATCGACTTGTTGGCAGTGAGAAGCTGTACGTGAACGGTCACCACCACGGCTGTTCTGTTCATTCTGACTCTTTACCCCTGGCACATGGCAGGCTCTCAGTAAATATGCCTTCAGTGACTGAATGGCTTTTTTGATTTGGGTGTCTTGGCTTTTTACTCCACTTCACTAAAATAAAACACTTCCTGGTAGATCAGTAGTTCCTGCTTGGGCAAATGGTTAAGGTTAACTGAAAGGTTAGTCTCTTGAACCCACCCAGAGAAGCACCTTTGAAGAGAAGCCTGGAAACTCATTTCCAAAAGGCCATGGCCTTGGGAACACTGTGGGGCACAGCTGAGCCCTGACACACATGGTACTGCCATGAGTCGAAGTCCCCTCCACGGTAACTGGTGGACCGTTAAATACAGGTATGTTTCTCATACCCCCGAGTCATGCTGTGGGCATTCTTTGTGAAAATGACATAGTAGTTCTGTGCTGGGCTGTGAGCCACAAGGGCAGCCGTTGGAAACCACCAGCCATTCTGCAGAAGAAAGACCGGCTTTCTACTCCCATACAGAGGAGAGGACAGCACTGAGGACTCACAGTGGGGAGTGAGTCTTGTCTGAACCCCCCACGGTGGGGTGAGCCAAGAAGGGAACATAACAGATCAGCAACAGGAGCAAAGCCAAGCCACAGAGCCCCTGAGGAGCCCCCCAAATAGACTCAGCCTAGGAGGGGGAGTTCCTGGAAGCCTCTAGGACTGGTGAGGAGATAGTCATAAAGGTCAGCAGACAGACTGGAATGATGTATACTTTTTAATTTTCTAGATTTTTTTTCTTTTTCCTCAATCGTTTGTTTTGTCTCTGTTATTGTCGTTTTGCTTACCTATATAAGATAGGTATGAAAAGCAAGCTCAAGGAGAATGCAATGAGACCAGGTGGGAGAAAGAGGTGGGGGAAGGGAGCGGTGAGCAAACAATGCCATAGACAGGGGAACAACCAGGGAATTAAAATCAACAACGAGGAGGATGTACACATCCTGGAGGTGTTGGAGCAACAGCAATCTAGCTGAGAGGAATTACTAAGAGGCAGAAGAAGGGTGAGCGTGATGGTGGGGCAGGAGGAAGGTAAAAGGAAACAGAAACAACCTAGGAAGCAAAGTTATGGATAGAGGTATACATATAGGTGTGCACATATGTAAAATACATTAATTCATAAAACAGAGGTATTGGCCTATGTACACTTATTTATATGGTAATACATTGAGGGAGTGGATGGACTTTGGACCTCTGCCCAAGACCTCCCTCAATGCAATAACCCTTCGTTCTAACAACCTGGCATTCTGTGATGCTCACCCTCCTGACACAATCCCTGAAGACAAAATGGGTGCGCAAGCAATTGTGGTGAAGAAAGCTGGCGGTGCCTGGCTATTAGAAGATATAGCTTCTGGGGTCTTAAAGGCTTGAATTTTTTTTTAGACTTTTGCAAGATTAGTGACTTCTTTTTTTTAAAATGTTTTTTTATTTATTTTTTACTAGTTTTAAGGCTTGGATTTTAAACAAGTGGCCATCTAGCAGAGAAGCAACAAGCCCACATGGAAGAAGCACAACAGTCTGTGTGATCATGAGGTGTCAAGGGGATCAGGTATCAGGCATCAGAAAACCCAGAACAAATAACCATACAGATGCGAATGAGAGAGGTCAGAGTGGAGACCCAAAGCCCTTCTGTAGACAATTGGACATCTCCTCACAGAAGGGATGAGTCAATCAGGGTGCAGGATAGCACTGATGAAACACCCAATATTCCTCTGGTTCTTTGAGGCTTTCTCCCCCCTATCATGACCCAGTTCTACCTTTCCGTTCTGGCTAGACCAGAGCATGTACACTGGTACAGAGAGAGCTCACAACACATGGAGTCCATATCAGATAGCCCCCTCAGGAACAGATATGGGTGTAGTGATACCAGGAGGGTATGGGGAAGGTGTGAGAAGAAGAGAAGGAAGAGGGAACCGATTATAATCATCAATGCGTAACATTCCCCCCTCACCCCCAGGAGGATGAACAACAGGAACATGGGTGAAAGGGAGACAGCAGATGGTGTGAGATATGAAAATAACAATAATTTATAATTTATCAAGGGTTCCTGAGGTTGGGAGGGTGGGGAAGGAAGAAAAAAAGAGAAGCTGATCCCAAGGGCTCAAATAGAAAGTAAATGTTTAGAAAATGATGAGGGCAACCTATGCATAAATATGCTTGATACAATTGATGTATGGATTGTTATAAGAGCTGTAAGAGCCCCCAATAAAATGATCTTAAAAAAAAAAAGAATTACAGTCTCAGATTCTCATAGGGGCAGTTCTACCCTGTCCTATAGGGTCGCTATGAGTCAGAATCAACTCAATGGCAGTGAGGGGTTTGGGGTTGGTTTTTTTTTTTTTTTTAAATAGATACTCAGGCAACCTAGTTTCGGAGTTTAACCAGGGTGATAAATGGCCTCTTAGAGAGATATCCACGGCAGCCAAAGAAAAGAGAACCACAGATTGGAGAATGTTGTTCCGGGGCCAGGTCGACCCAAAGGGAGTAAGGGTAGGTCAATGGAAAACTCCTAAGACAACAGCCTGCCAGCCCCACCTTCTTGGCTGGTGGCCCGGTTGCCATGAAGCAACTGGAGAGTTGAGATGCCTGTCAAGGTGGTGTTAACGAATTGTTCCAGAACCAGTTTCTGTGGACAGTTCACAGGCCGCTGCCATGGACTTCAGAAGAGCCAGTGAGGCTTCTCCCTGGAGGCCCTTGGAGAGAGCTCTGCAGTTTAGGCTCTGCTGCAAGATCAGATGCTCCCGGGTGAGGGTGGAGCCTTCTCTCCCCTACACGAAGCTGCTCCAAGACACAGTTGGGTCAAGGTCGCCTTCACTGTACTTTCAGGCCACCCCTCCTCAATTTCCCACGGGCCAGGAAGAGCAGCACATAGTTTGGGCAGGAAAATTAAATAGCTACGATGCCCCTCCTCGACCCTCCCAAACACCTGAGACGCACAGGGCTACCCGTGGGACCCTGCCAGGAGGCCCCTCCCTTTGCAATGTCTGGAAGCTCTTTTCCTCTTTATTTCATAAGCACTTGGTGTGTGTCTGAGGCACCTTGAAAGAAAGGTCTGCCGATCTCCTTCCCTGTGGAGCACGGGCCATGAATCGGAATGCACCTGAGGACGAGGGGTTTTAGTGGTGCAAGATGCTTCACAGATACTCATCCTCTTAGCAACCCCATGCGGAGGCGCAATTAGCTCCATTTTACAGAATAGGAAACTGAGGCCCAGGGAGACCAGGGAACATGTTCAAAGTCTCCTGGCTGGTAAATGTCAGTGCCTGGATTCAAACCCAGGCAGTCAGGTCCCTACATTTATGTTCTTCATTGCTCCTCCACATTCACTTCAGCGCATTCTCAGCTGCTTGGTCTACAACATCAAGTTTTCGGGGCACGGGTGCCAGCATCTCTCCAACACCCTCCCCCCACCCCCAGCAGCCATGATTCTGCTACTCCCAGCAGTTGCCCATTTGGTCTCTATTCTCAAACCCCAGTGCTGCCACTAGCTGGGCACCCCCTCAGCCTCTGACTCATCATCTGGGAGGCGAAAGCAAGCCCATGATCCTTCCTCTCAGAGATGCGCCCCAGCCTGAGGAACTCACAGATGCGTAAATACTCTTCTCCGTAGCTGTCCCGGGTCTCCTGAGGTAGCCGGCCCCACAGCTTCTGCATGCGGGACTCTAGTTTCTCCTTGCCCAGAATGGATGTCCGGTAGTTTCCTGGCTCTATGATGCTGACTTTTACGCCAAAATAGTAGAGCTCACGCCTAGAAAAGAAGGGTTAGACTCAGTGCAGGGCCCCAAGATGGCAGAAACTGATCAAGGAGGGTCACCTGTAACCCTGCTAGAGGACCCTCTCTCACTTCTGGAGGAACATGTCTCCCCAGGAACCTGGGAAGTCTACGCCTCATGCCCTGTGGCAGGTTAGGCCTTGCCTGCATGATAACAAGACCTCCCTGAGTGTTCAGCATGTTCCAAAGCCAGATCCACAGTGGCTGGACAATGTGTATGAGGGGCAGAAGTCAACGGGAGGAGGAGGAGGAAGGCAGCGAGAGAATCTTGGCCAAGGGCTTGCCTCCCATCAGGTTCCTTCCACTCTCAGTCCCACATCCAACATCCGTAGACGGAGTGAGACTGTGCAAGGTGTATGTTCTCCAGTGAGGGTCTCCCTACAGGCACCGCCCATTTGGCCCAGGTCTACTCTGTGTGGGGGACTCTCCTTCCTACTCTCACAAGTCCAGAGAGTTTTTCATTCATCCCAGGACAGGCAAACTATCCACTCTGTCACTACCCACCTCTTCTTTTCATCCCTTCTTCCTTGGTCACTGGGGAAGGCTACTGCCACTCCATCCTGCTATTGTTTTAGCTTCATCCTTCCAGAAGTCCCCTACCCATATGTGATCACTCCAGCCCTCTCTTCCTGGGATGAACACTGCCCCCCATCCCCGCAGCCCAGGACTCCTATCCAGAGGGTCTGCCACCAGGACCCAGTTACCTGATGCTGTCAGAGAAAGCCTCAACACCAAACTTGGAAACACAGTAGCCACCACCGATGGCAGCCACGCGACCCCCAGAGCTGGACATGTTGACAACCCTGCCCCGGGCTTTCTTGACCATGGGCAACATGTGGAGGGTCACTTCAATCAGTCCCACCAGGTTCACATCAATCACTTTCACAAAGTCCTCCTTGGTCAGCCATTCATTGGGACCACTGGGTAGGCCCACTCCAGCATTGTTCACCAGAGCCCAGAGACCTGGGGGGGAGAGAGAGGGAGGGAGAACTAGAGCAGAGATCAACAGTGACGATGGGAAAGGACCCTGGCCCTCCACTCACCAGCTCGGGGCCACAGAGAGTCGATGCGAGCAGCTACACGGGGATAAAACAATCAGGACTTGGCACAGAGGCTATGGCAGTTTCATTGTTAGTTTTTGCTAGGTAGTTTGGCGGGAAAGGACACCTTGTTCTGACACAGACACACACACACACAGACACACACACACACACACACACACACACACACAATCTGTCAGCTAGCTGGGACCCTGTCAGCTACAATCCAGGATTTGGTTAATAATGTTTAAGCTGTTATCTCCAGGATAAGAGATATTCTCATAGCTATGAATTAATGTTCGGCATTTTCCCCTCCTCCAAAACTTTCTACTCTCTATTCTTGTTAATTATAATGAACCAATTCCATTTCAAGATTTACCAAAATCATTTCACCCACCTACCCATCTGTCCACCCACCCATCCACGTGCACACATTGACACATGCATACATTCATGCATCTACTCTGTGCCAATTACAGGGGAACGTGCTCGAGACCTAAATAAACCAGACAGGGTCTATCCCTTAATGAGCTCCCAAGCCAGAGAGGAGACAAAGGATATTTATAAATAAGTATCTAAACCATTTATATAAAATAATTATGAGGACATGTGACAAGTGTGCTTGTTCAAATATCCAATCATTCATTCTGGGACAGGCAGACTACACACCTCTATCACCCCCCATCTCTGCTTTTCATCCCTTCTGCCCTTGGTCCTTGAGGCCTAGGCTTTACCCTGCAATTGTTTTAGGGCTCCCCTACCCACGCGATTGGCCAGCCCTCTCTTCCTGGGCTTTCTTAGCAGTACCACTTGCTGCTCAGTGACCCCACCTCAGGACTGCTGAAAGGACAAAGCAGGTCTGCTGTGGAAGAAGTATGGCCACGGTGCTCCTTGTAGGCAATGATGGTGAGACTTTGTCTTACATACTTTAGACATGTTAGGAGAGACCTGGGGAAGGACCTCCTGCTCGGTAAAGCAGAGGGGCAGCGAAAAAGAGGAAGGACTTCAATGAGATGGGTTGACACCGTGGCTGCAGCCCTGGGCCCGGGCACAGGAACCGTTGTGAGGACGGGGCAGGGCGGGCAGTGTTTCGTTCTGTGGTGCACGGGGTTGTGATGGGTCAGAATCGACTCGATGGCACCTAACAACAATTACAAATGGCCTTCAGTCCTGCAGGGGTTCAGGGCTGGGCAGCCACAAGTCCTAGTCCCGATTCTACCTCCAGCCACGGGAAGGCCACTTCTCCTGTGTGGCTGCAAGAGTTGTTTCCGGTCTGTGTTTTCTAAGTGTGAGAACTTCCAGTCTGAGTCCTAGAACCTGCTAGGAGAGGGAGATTTTGAGAAGCTCTGACTTCGCTTGCTTTATATATTGAGCTTCCAAGTAAAATTCCACTTGGAGGCGAGGAAGAGCTTCATTGCTGAAAAAACAAACATACAGAGCTCCTGCTGGTTCTTCCATTCACCTAGCCATTTAGTTGAGCTCCGTCCCTTTCCCCACAGTGGCCTCTGACAAGAGCACTTTCTACGCTCACCTGAGGCCCTGCGGATAGAGACACCAGCTACAATTTCCTCTTTCCAGTAGGCCTGTGGTCTCCAACTTGCTGACTTTCTAAGAGACTGCAGGAGTCTGGCTGGCAATACTCAATAATTATTAGGTTGGGGAGACTCTCATTTTACAGGGGAGAGAATGAAGCCCGCTGAAATCCAAAGACTAACCACTCAAGTTCCCTCTGTCTGTGGAGAGGGAATGCGAACCCACTGGGACCTCTAATCATCCCTGCTCGAAGAGAGGATGTACCAAGGTGACCTTAGTTCCTTCTTCGAAAAATAACTAAGACGTTATCAAAGCAGCCTATGACTGTGCTGACTCATCATGTCCCGAGACTCAGGGGCAACAAGCAAGCATGTAAGACCCCCACCCCTAAATCCAGTCCCTCGTGTGGTAGGCAGGAAAAATGGCCTCAGGATGTCAATGTCCTAGTCCAGAACTTGTAAATGTGTAAGGTCTTATGGCAAAGGGGAATTAAGGTAGCTCATCAAATTACCTTAAACTAGGGAGTTTGTCCTACATTAGCCTGGTTGACTTTTTGTAATCGCAAGGGTTACAAGCGCTAAGTGAACGTGGGAGACAGACAGGAAGAAGTAGCGAGCTATCAGGATTAGAGGGACATGGCTTGACCTTGCTGGCTTTACATGGAGGAATGGGCCCTAAGCAAGAGCTAGAGTTCAAACCAATCCTCTTGCCATCAAGTTGGCAATGCCAGGGCTCTCAGAGTAGAAAGGCACTCCATAGGATTTTCTTGGCTATAATCTTTAGGGAAGAACACTAAGCTTTCTTCCATGGAACTGACCGATAAGTTCAAATCACCAACCTACTGGTTAGTAGTCAAGTTCAGATGGCTTGCCCTACCTGTGGACTTAGGAGACCTCTGAAAGCAAGAAAAAGTGAGGCAATGGATTCTCCCCTAGGACTTTCAGAATCAAACACAGTCCTGCTAATACTTGATTTTAACCCAGTGAGATTTCTGATTCTCAAATAACTGTAAGCTGATAAATTGTATTGTTTTCAGCCTCTTTGTTGCACTTGTTGTTTTTTTTTAAAAAAAATAATTAAATCATTTTATTGGGGGATTGTACAACTCTTATCACAATCCACACATACATCCATTGTGTCAGGCACTTTTGTACATTTGTTTCCCTCATCATTCTAAAAATAATTGCT